AGCCGATAAGAATAAAATTTACAGCCCTGTCCTGCTTTGAAACAAACATTTACCAACGTGTATTTTTACGAGGTCGTATCCACGCTAACAAAGCGGTCACCGATCGGCAAACAAAATTTGTAAACAAACATCTTATTACTGTTCTCTCAGTTCGCCTTATATAAACCCGCAAATACCTACAAATAGCGCTTGACCGGTGACAAAAGCACACAACATATGAGTATAAAGATTATCCTTAACTGAGCATAAATTTCAATTGCTTATCAGCAAATGAACAAATTCATTCGCATTGCATCGGGTCAGTGTTCCGCAAAACAAATGTTATCGAGTAGCACACATAAAGAAACTAGATTATAAACAGAATATTCAGGCAATAATTTATTTTAAAAACATCAAGTCTTAGACATATACGATGGTAAAGCAAAGATACAAGGAACATTTCAAGTGTACCAGATCGGTGAAGATCGCGCGGCCTGTTGCGGTATAACTACAGGTCGGAGTCAAAAATCAAATCAAAGTTGAACGAAATCATGCCTTTAACCACTTTCCAAGTGTCCTGTATTCTTTTCGTAGGCCACACACTACTCCTTGAACCATACCAGATCGATAGGCTAAACTTCTCTATCTCCAAAGACTCTTGGGAACGTCCTGTTGCCGGACGGCCACGATGCTCTTTTGAACCTTATGATCAAAACATTATTTTTTGCGTCTTCTTAAAACGTAACCAGTCAAACGACACAACCACACGTTAATCACCACAAACGAAGTATAACTAGACCAGCCAAAGCGACGGATGTCCGAATAAAACGAAGGATTTTCAAAGATTGTACCGGTAATGGCGATTTCGAATTTAGTGTTGACCCAACAAATTTATTCTGAAGAGAAAAACGGCGCGCATGCGCATTATCGTGAACCAGTCCCTTTAAGCTCCAATATGCCAAACGGTAAAACCGCAAACCATTAATGTATGGAATGACTTCCTGTTTTTCTCATTGAAATGCCAAATATAGGCGTTGGTGTAACCGCCGCAGTTTTGACGCCGAAGCAATGCGGTTAGAGCCAGTGGAGCATTGTCATTGTCATGTCAATGAATATAAAATTGTTTCAGGTATACCCGCGGCTCCCACCCGTTTTGTCACTTAAGTGCTGAGTCATCGAAAGAATAGGACAATTGCACGATGACGATATTTGACTACAACTACCAGAATTCATTTCGGTTTTGCTTTGTTATTTAAATTTGTCAATCCCGCTGAGGATTAAAGAACAATTAAGCCTTAATTTGCACAAGAAAAGAACAAACTCAAGGATTCTGGTAGTTGCAATAAAATGACGTCAACGTGCAATTGTCCTATTGGTGATGAAATCACAAGTGCTACGAGGAATTTACAGATTGTAGTTTCCGTCATAATAATAACTAAAATCTTACTGTCTTATCCACCGGCATTCTTATATTTTGTTAAGAATTGAAATATATGAAATGAATCATATTTTGAACTGCAGACACTAGAGATATGAAAGTGAACACGAGCTTCGCAGTAGAGTGAACAACCTAAGTGGCTGAAAGCAGACAGCCTGAAAAAATCCAGGCTTGAGCACCCATGCAAGCCTGGATTTTCACTTTCTTAATTATATTCTGTTACTTAGAAATAACGAAACTTCCGGCACGTTTGCACTTAGCTATTTCTTGGTGAGGTGAAATCCTTGAAACTTTTAAAAACTGATTTGCTTTCTTATTAAACAGAATACACGATCAACAAAAATAAACAACTTTGGAGATTTTAATGAGTGCCCCCAGCAATTACATGTGCAAATTTTTTACCTCTCAATTGTTAACTGTATTTATACATGTACAGTGTACAGTTTTAACTTAACGTACTCTTAGAAAAAGTTAATAACTACTCTTATAACACTTAAGAGTTGTGATCTTCACAAAGTTTGGCCTATTGGTGTTTTTATGAAATTGACATCCAAACAGATACATAAAGCTGGCAGTGAAAGTGGCAATTAAAAGAATTCGGTTGACCGTTGGACCTGAGGCTCCATTGCAGTAGTCAGAGGAGCAACAACTAACTTTACACTGGACGTTGGGTTCGTTGCATATTGGAACGCCTGATGCTGAACAGGTCGCAGCGCATCCTTTAACGTATCCCTCGTCCCTGATGCCAGATGTTCTTTTGGCGCTTGCCTTGACACAATGCTGAGAGCTCAAACATGTTACCCGGTATTGTTTGGCTGCACAATCTTGGAAAGAGTGCGTACTAAGACATTGATAACAATCTCGGGAAGTCACTGCAGCGGAAAGTAAAGAAGAACTAGGTCAATAAAGGCCAACAATTCTGCTACAGGGACTTATCATTAGTCTACGCAAGTATTGTGTTTGCATTAAATCATAGCTATAGATCTAACTCACTCACAGTCAGCCCTGAGACAACGTGCAGTTATAAGATACTGAATAATAATTGAAAGACACCAATAATTTTTGCACTAGTCAGGGTATTCTAAAAACATGTTGGTGTAGCAAACGGGATACAAAGTTCTTAATATGATATCAGTAAGAATAACCATTGCGTATATAAGCAACAGTTTTCTTCGTATATTTTAGAAAATAAAAGTAACAAAACAAACCAAAAAACCTTTAGAAACTGCTGAGTCGGGCATTCACCAAATTCCTCATATACAGTTGTCTTAATCTTATAAATAACTTTCTAGAAACTAAATTACGTTAATAGGTAATGCACGCAGTCTTCAAACAGAAAAGAACGCTGCCTACTAAATTAGGAAACGGATGATAACATTAATCAACTGAAATATAATTATTCGAATAAATCGTGAAAAGGCGTGACACAATGGGTAGAACACACTAGAAGAACTGAATTCCTTCCGCACACCCCGCGGAACATCTCTATACTAACGACATTTAATACGCACGGCTCTTTGGATAAATTTGACAGAATGCTATAGTAAGGAGTTATTAATAGTTGCTGTCCAAACCAGGTTGAGTTGTTAAACAGCAGTTTAAAGCCTCCTTAGGTATTCGATTNTATTCTAAAAACATGTTGGTGTAGCAAACGGGATACAAAGTTCTTAATATGATATCAGTAAGAATAACCATTGCGTATATAAGCAACAGTTTTCTTCGTATATTTTAGAAAATAAAAGTAACAAAATAAACCAAAAAACCTTTAGAAACTGCTGAGTCGGGCATTCACCAAATTCCTCATATACAGTTGTCTTAATCTTATAAATAACTTTCTAGAAACTAAATTACGTTAATAGGTAATGCACGCAGTCTTCAAACAGAAAAGAACGCTGCCTACTAAATTAAGAAACGGATGATAACATTAATCAACTGAAATATAATTATTCGAATAAATCGTGAAAAGGCGTGACACAATGGGTAGAACACACTAGAAGAACTGAATTCCTTCCGCACACCCCGCGGAACATCTCTATACTAACGACATTTAATACGCACGGCTCTTTGGATAAATTTGACAGAATGCTATAGTAAGGAGTTATTAATAGTTGCTGTCCAAACCAGGTTGAGTTGTTAAACAGCAGTTAATAAAGCCTCCTTAGGTATTCGATTTTAAATTCTTGCAGTTTTGATGTGAAGAGGTACACGAAAGAGCTCTCAATTCTACTGGCAGCGCCAATCACGATGATTAGCAATGTTATCAACTTAACTTAATAAGTAAAAGCACTTTAACGATGACTCGTATATCGTGAAAACGTAAATTCATCAAATTCTGCGCTGGTTCTTTAACGATCTTTGCCTCTGTCAACGTAAGCGAAACTGCTGGCGGATATTAAAATTAAACTTAATGCACGGAAATGAGCCGGATTAAAAAGAAACAAGTAACAAAATACTAACACCCCTACCCATTGGCAAGAAGATCAGGAACATGAAAAGAGCTACATGCTGGAAATTCGTCATGTTGGATGTCTGTTCCGTGTTCCTTAATTACTCGATCGATGCAGATATAGGAGTGTGCTTGCTTGCTGTTTGAAGCAATAACCAAATGGAAAACCTAGAATACTGAACACACCCAGTAATATACATAAGTGACTGTCAATTTTATTAATCAAGACAATTCTTGTCAAAATTGGTCTTGGATGTTACTGGTTAATACGCGAGCCAACACCCACTGCTAACAGTTGTAACGCTCTGTTTGACTCTTAACAAAAAAGTTATCACGCCCCTTTGTCACTGTTAAATAAGTTTAGTTGTGAAAGTAAAGTAGGTGCTGAAGTCCACTTATTTTACATATCATTATCATGCCGCATAAAATTAAGCTAGTTTCGCTACTCCCATGCATACAATGGTGTTTGAATAAAAGGAAACATTTTTCACTGATCTTTCTCTGATCACATCTGATAAGTCTGTCGCTCAATAAGACGTAAAAAAACGACATTACATCAGAAGCTATTTGTATCTACAGTTGACTCCCGATAACTCGAACCCTCGCTAACTCGAACCAAAATCGATTTCCCCTGGATTTCCGTCATACATTATTGTAATTTTACCCTCGGTAACTCGAACCCTCGATAACTCGAAACTCCCGCTAACTCGAAGTAATTTTGTTTCCCCTCAGATCATTTCTATATAATTTTACCCTCGATAACTCGAACCATGTTTTGAGCCCTTAAAAAGTCGGGGAAAAACAGTGTACTGCCTCCGAAGCATTGAATTTTGAATTTCCCATTGACGTGTTGTAGACATTTAGTTTACTAGTAGATCGATAGTGGAGGCTGGTGTTGTTTGTCACAAATCTAACGTGAAATAGCTTTACTTCTCAAAAAGTAAAATGCATGCTCTATTTAGGCAACGTTTTGTTTCAGATTTGTTACTTTACGTTCTGATTTATAATCTAAAAGTATCTTTCAATTTTCACTCAACATTTCTACGATTAAATGTGATTAAAATGCTCACTGTGCAGTAAAAACTGTTTTTTTCCTTACTCCCGGCTATTTTCTTCGAGCTCCCGATAACTCGAACCTTTTTCGATTTCCCTTGAAGGTTCGAGTTATCGGGAGTCAACTGTATTTCAATAGTATGAAACGTTAGAAAACCTGACTGGTTCATCTGGCATTGGAAACCTTCCGCATTCTTTTGGTCAGTGACCATCTTGAGGAGGGCATAATGATTTTGTTTATCCCGCTCTCCGCTGCAATTATCCAGCAAAGAAGTAACAAAGGAACCTCCTAGGCAGAACGAGTTTCCTCAGGCAGGTTTTTACTAAAATGGGGAACGAAGGAGAAAAGGGAAACCCAAGCCCTATCACTAAGCTTGATCTAACTTGATTACCCTTTCTTTGATTTGTTCCCATTTTTAATTTTCTCTTTCCTGTGCTCGTTTTACTCGTTCCCGGCCGTTTGCACGGTCTGGCGTCACTCATTCACTACAATAATAAGAAAAGCCGCGAAAGGTTTGATTACCACAGACATAATTTACAAATTGTGCAGTGGATATTGAGTTTCAGAACTTTCAAGTCTATAATTAAAATTTGGGTCAGTTAATCATCCCGCGCTATAAACCAATTTTTAAAAATTTTTAAAACCGTGGCCCCAAAGTATTCTTATGCCTTGCGTAAAAAATTTCACAGCTGCGCCTGTTCCTTTTCGTAAATCCGGCCAAACCTTCAATGTTTGCGACCATCATTATTTTTAGTCATTTTATGGCTTAAATACAGGCGTTTAGTATTTGATTGTAAAACTCCCTGAAGAAATCTACGTTAGTTAGACGAAACGCGTAGGAGAATAAACAAGTTTTACAGCAACAGTTCGCAGAGTGCTGCTCACTAGTTTAGTTTTAAAAATTTTAAAAATTTTAAAAATTTTAAAAATTCACATTTTTTCTTGAAGTTTTAATTCTATGTAAAACTCCCTGAAGAAGTCTACGTTAGTTAGACGAAACGCGTAGGAGAATAAACAAGTTTTACAGCAACAGTTCGCAGAGTGCTGCTCACTAGTTTAGTTTTAAAAATTTTAAAAATTTTAAAAATTTTAAAAATTTTAAAAATTCACATTTTTTCTTGAAGTTTTAATTCTAAACACTAACTTCGAGCCCAAAAATGTTAGTTTAAAGAGATGCGATTTTCGTCGCAGTGGCACTTTAAGAAGCTTACTGATACAAAACGGCGACGGCAGCTAAAACGTTACTTGTTGCAGCATGATTAATTTCGTATCCTTTTGAACTTTATTGCCATTATTCCAACTCGATTAATTTGTCAAATGTAGCCGAATTCTCTTGGAAATGAGTTATTCGGATAGTATCCAAGTTAAGGAAGAGAAAGAAGAACTCGCACGTGAGTTGAATCGGAAAGTTTTTCAACGCAATGAACCAAACTGAAGTGTGACGCACGCGTAAAATTACTGTTATCAGAAACCATGACGGGCTTAGGCCACAAAAAAAATTCTTTTTAATCTTGTACATTACTTGTCTGTGCCTGTCAGGATACAATCAATGAACCCTTTTTTATCTCTCAGTATCTGGTTTCAGTTTGGCAGGCGCAAAAAAGAGAGGCTTGGGTGGGGGGAGAAAAGCGCGAAAGAGGGGGAATGGGACGTAGATTTCACTGAATATTCTTTCAATTTGACGCTGATTCCTTTTGCGGAGACTACGCAGAGGAGCAAAATGTTGAGATTACGAATCGGTTGCGAAATGTTGAGATGGCGAGTGTCAGATCTATAGTTTAACGGGAAAATGCCCGCGCCGGCATAAAGAAAAAAAATTTAACTTACATTCCTCTAAACGAGTGTTGGAAATTATTCCTGTATAAAATCCTTCCCGGGTTGTGGACTTCAGGAAATTTAAGCATTAACAAGATGAGCATTTGCTGGTAAGTCGTGATCAGTATTCAGTTTTTTATCGGTGGAAAATACCACGAAATATATCGAGCGGAAATGAGTTTCAGTTTTTCCCACGTGTTACATCAAGTATTTCTGATAATTATCACATGGATTTCTTTCGATTCTGCCCAAACTTGTCGATATTTCATTTATTTTGATGTAACGCATGCCGCCAGCGAAGACTGGCCTCAAATATGCGAAGCTTTCCTACGTACTTCTTTTTTGCATTAATTTTGATCACCAACTCGTGAAACAACCTCGTTCCCAGGGTTCTCTCCTACCCGCCCTACGTAGGGCGGGTAGGAGAGGACCCTGGGAACGAGGTTGCTGGTGAAAGCGCTCTATTCGTCAACCCTAACTCTTGCCTTTTGTAGTCCAGCAGCCACTAAGAACCGTTGATGGACTTGATCAGTTCGTCACCTAATCACGTCATTCGTGAAATGACTCCAAAAGGTAACGTGATTCGCGAATGTACGGAAACTCAACCCGTGATTCGTGATCCAGACACCCCCTTCCAGATCCTTTTATTTCAAGACGGCGCACAGTGCGAGCTAGGGCTGCCGTGATGTCTTTGATGGGAAAGTAAACATTTGTAATCATTTGTACCAAATCAACTTTCAGCAATACTCCAATTGAACCTTTGTAATAACCTCCGCAGTTCTTTGCGATGCGGGTGTCTCATAAGTTTTCAGCCTATCTTTTTGACTCAGTCTCTTTAAGCCTGCCATCCCAAAAGGAATGGACACTTTTGACTCGAGTCATTTTTGACTTCTGCCAGTTTGCCAGAAAAACTTTCCAGCCGATTCGTTTCCTTGGGATTGATTTAATTGACCTCATTGACCGATTTTGGAAAGATCTCCTGGCGGGTAACGAATCTCTCATGGAAAAAGTGTTAAATGAACAAAGAGGTTTCTGGGAGAAAAAGGCCGCCCAATTTTTTTTTCTATGGTCCCAGGTAACTCCAGACTAGCTCGATCGAATCACATTTACTCACGAGTTCGGCTGTCAATGATCTATCTTTAATTGCAATAGAATATAAAAAGGTTTTGACCTCCGGTCTTCTCTTTTTTAGTCGCTGTAGTGATTTCTCAAGAAAGTTACCAGTGTTGCAGTACGCACAGCCTCTTTCAAAGATTGTGACGTCAACCGAAGCCGAGTAAGATGTTTGACGTCACAGCACAACCTACCGTAGGCACGAGTAGGAGCATTATTGTGCAGTGTCACCACCACATATGTTTGCTTAACATCTGGTATTAAGGATTCCTCCGTGTAAAGTAATTCGGATCCCAGAATTCGGGAAATTTTTCGTCTTGTGGAATCCGGAATCCTGAGCTTTGGAATCCGGAATAAAGCTCTAGGAATCTGGATTCCCACTGGTGTTTGGAATCCAGAATCCAAGTTCTACTGACAAAGACTGGAATGCAGAACCTGGAACTGTTGGAATCCATGGTGTGGAATCCAGAATCGGGCAAGACTGTCCTGGATGCCTTTACATGGGGCGAAAGGATTTGTTAATATTTTATCCTCACTGCATACCTATTGTCGCATCACTGCAAACTAAGTTCTGGGACTAATTCTCGACTGCCTGTAGCAAGGCTTGGTGATGTGGTCATAGCCACCAGGGGAGGTGGGAGGGGCGAAAAGCGCTCCCAGCAAGCAATCCCGTCAAACTGCGAGATTTCACACTGCGACGCCCAAATTTAAGTTAGAAGGCCGCAAAGGGTCATAATTGACCCCAACTGTTAAGAACACTCGGGATTAGAAGAACGCAGGCATGTTCGTGAGACTTGCTCATTATATATGCAGTGAGAATTGAGATACGATAAAGGATACGCTGCCACCTGCAGCTCAGCATCAGACATTCACAGGGGCGGATCTAGGGGGAGGGGGCAGGGGGTGCGCACCCCCCCCCCCCCGAGATGACCTACGGTTTACTAATACAACTGGTATTCTGCAAAAAAAACTATGTGGTTTATTGGTGTTGAAGTAGAGCAAAAGACGAGTGCACCCCCTCCTAAAAAAATCCTGGATCCGCCCCTGATTCAAACCTCGTTTGACTTTTAGTCTTATTACCATTCTCTTTCT